CTTCACTGCATGCATTTTGGGAATCTAGTGCTCATGTGGAGGTCATTACTCCTTTTAGCTTTGGTTGTGGTTTGAAGCAAGTGAAGGCTCTGCCCCCAGTCACAGTGCTGCTGTTTCATAGAGAGTCATGAGATCAGACTTTGCTCTGGAATGAGTTAAGTGTTGTTTCATTTCAAACAGGTGAGAATTCAAACAGTCCCCGCCTCTCATCTTCAGCAAGGAACAGTGTCTGGTTCTACCAAAGCGGTCTCCACTGTTGTAGTGACGACAGCACCATCTCCAAAGCAGACCCAGGATCAGCAGTGAATGTTGGCTGCGCAAATGGATTGCTTTCCAAGACCTTCTCTGATCCTATTATTCTCCTGTTCATCACCAATCAGGACTTCATAGGTGTAATCACAGACTGTTCAGCCTGCAAGGTAGAAATTTGAGAAGGCGTGTCTGTGCCAAAAGCAACAAATGTTGCTTGCCTGGAGTCAGCATTTTTGTATGCAGCAGAAATCCCAGTATAACATGTGATGCTGTATTTAAAAACCTGAACATTTCAGTCCAGATTTGCAAAACAAGCTCCCTAGCAGTGACCTTACTAGAGACTTCATTCTACTCATCTCTTTCTAGTTGCCCTTTATGCAAATACCAGTCTCTCATTTCAGTATGTTCTGGGTTACCTTAGGTAAATAACCCATGGTCTTCCTTAACTAGTAAAGCCAGCTGTAAAGGGAGCCAGATTTTGTAATTCTCTAAGGTCATGGCCAAGCACATCCTTATTGGAGTCCAGTTGTCTGTTGCGTTTATACTTTGTAGAGGTAATTTTAAAGTTAGTGGCTTGAACACCAGATTTTATTTGGGACATAGCCTGTAGTAGATCCCTAACAAAAATTCTATATATTTATTTATTTTATAGCTTTTAAAGATTTGTCCCTGCTTCCTAACCCATATTCCTTGTTGAGCTGCTGTCACTGTTAAACTGAAAAGGTTTTTTCTTTTTATCATCTTCACAAAAGCAGGACAGAGAGTCCTTTCCCATAAGTGTGCCTAATCAAGGCCACTGCTGTTGTAAAATGGCTAGTAATTATTGGGGGAGGATCAGTATATGTATGTCTTATTGCAAGTGGACACCCAGCAATGGAATAGAAAGAAGAGTCTCTCAGGGAGTTTTCTTTCTTGCATTCCTCACAAGAAGATGACTGAGCCTTTTTCAGTTGGAGAAGACTGCAGTTTGCTTTTAAAGATGGAGAACAAGCTTTCAACTGTTTGAACTGCATTCTCACAGATTCTTGCAGATGAAATGTTTAAGCTCACTGGCCTGGCCTCTGTTTTTTGTTTTTGTTTTTCTCTGATTTTTTTTTTTTTACCTTGATATACAAGTTGTTGGGATTTTGCACATTACAGATCAGGAAGTGATCTGACTTTGACTTCAGACCAGTTCTGACATCCCCTGGGTTCTTTTTCTGAAGGAAGCCAGAGGACACATGGGGCAGAAAGAGAATAAAGATGCAGAAAGCCTTACAGATCTAACTTCCCTCCCGCCTACAAGATTATACCTGCCATCTCTCTTCAGTTCCCTACAGGACAGTTCATTTTGGCAGGGAAGGAGTTTGACCATACTGTACCATGAACTGAAGTGTGATCATCTAACCTGCCAAGGGCTAATACTATTCTTCTACATCTGTAAAAAGGTTTCCTTTATGTTGTTTCTCTTGTGTTGTTTCTTTTTCTTTCTTTTTTTAAGATGAAGTTTGCCTTTGATTTTGTCAGTAAATGCATTCTATTTAAAGAGGAAAACCCTGCTGTTTGTTACCTTCCAGTATTTAGCTGAATTGTGTAAAGCTGGATTCTGCTCAAAACCTTTGGTTGTAGCTCTGTATTGCTGGCGCAGGTACAGTCAGTAATGTCAGTAGGAGGCTTTGATGGAATTCAGGTTGAAATCTTCCATGTTGCACAATCTTTTTGCAATGTAACTAACCTGGTTTGGAAAAGTCGGGTATAAAAAAATGGAATTTTTATATAAATCCAAGCCCAAATCAGGATAATCATTTTGTCCTATATCACTCCCAGTCATGTCTAACATAATGGAATTAAGTATGGGATGCTCCTTACAGCATGTAGTGTACTGTAGCTTTAGGCTAGGTACAGACATTCAAAAAGCCCGAGGTAGAATCAGTCTAAGTTGCATGGTTTTCTGTAAGCAGTGTAGTTTAGATCCATAGTGAACAGAACACACATTCACCCTTTAGTGTGCGTGTGGAGGAACAAATCTTACCCTGGGTTCCACCCTTTTTAAACTAGTCAATGTGTGCCGAACTTCTGTTCTGTTACGGGTATAGACTGGTTTCCAGTCACTTATACCAGTAAAAGTGTAACATCTGTATCTGGCCTTAGTGTATCTGGTCTCTGTTAATTAGTTGTATTCTGTGACACATGAACTCCTGACATTACTAGGATTCAAAACACAGGAAGCCCATCATATCAAGAACTTCATTGTGGTGGTGAGATTTCACCCCTGCTACAGAGGGATAGATTTACCCTAGCCCAGTCAGGTCAACGATGCAAGAGAACTTCTCCCACCTTCCCAGATCCTTTTGATGGCTCCAGTTCTGCTTTGTTAATAACAACTACTAGTAGAGGGAGATTATTTATCAGAGTAACACCTCAAATCTACTACTCAGAGGTCAGGGCTCTATTTGTGTTCAGTGCTATACATACACAATGAAAATAGTCCCTTCCCTGAAGAACTTAACCCATAAGTTTTTGTCACCTGTCCAGTCACTTCTCCCAAGCACATTAACCTTGGTTCCACTAGCCCAAAAAAATGTTGAAAGTTGTCTTCACCCAGGCTAGGTCCTCAGAACCTTGTTTCCTAGCATCTTTGGGGTCATTAAATAGAGCGGGTCCTTCGTTGCTCTGCTGTAGCTACCGAACATGGGCATGAGCAGCCCTCCTTGGAGTACTGCTGTTCTCACCACCATTCTGTTAGCATTTGAGGTGAGCTCGTCTTAAAAGGTGCACTGCGGATGGCCTGGGGGGAGTCTACACTGACGTTACACATTCTCTCTCTGTTCTTTCGTTCTACAAGGCCTATAATTTGCAGGGCTCTTGTTTTGATACCTTTTCATCACTAAATCTAGTGTAAAAATTAGGACATTGCTATATACAGAAATGTGGGCTGTTTGTTTTCCACTGTGTTAAGAGATTACAACCAAAGCTGTGAGCCAGTTCTTCTGGATCAAACACCTCCAAGCGCTTGGGAGTAAAAGTGCCTTTATTCCTTCTTCCTCAACCGGTGCCATCGATGGACTTTTTCATACCAAGAACTAATAAACATTGCTTACAAAAAGTGGCCTATATACATGCCCATCAAACCAATACCTTTCATTGTAACCTGAGCTTGATTTTTAACAGTTGCTGTTACTTGATACCATATGCCAGTTACATTCTTAATATAGGGTACCGTACAAGTGACATATGACTTGAGTTGCACAGAATTCTGTTTTAATGAGAGGCACAAACTAGACCCTGATTTAAATGCTTTTAGGGGCCATGTTCCATCTTCCAAATACTTCACTGTCATTCTTGGCCACTGAGACTTGGCCAGAGGTTCCTAGGATTTCAGGGACGAATCCAGGCTGAGCACATGGCCATTCCTAACCCCTCTAACTGAACACTGCCTATTTGTAAAATTTGGGCATTTTCCTGCCAAGTATTATTTACTTAGTGCTGTAGCTATGATGCCAGCTCAGCACCTTATCTCAACACATGCCTTAAAACAGTGATCTCAACCAGCATGCTGTGGCACCTTGGGGTGCCTTACCATCCTTTCAAGGGTGCCACTCAATGTTGTTAGTGCTGTTAAGTGAAAGCATGATTGACAAGATAAACCCAGAGACTTCAAAAAAGAATATACTGTGTTAAAAACATTCTCCCCTGTTGTGATCCAGCTGAGTTCTTTGAAGCAAAATTGCTCTAGTATTTTTCTGCACTCAAAAAAGGAGTGAAAACTAAGAGCTGGCATTTTCCATAGAGTGTCTCCAGTCAAAAAAGGTTGAGACTCACTGCTTCAAAAGCACAAGTAGATAGACTACATACTGAGACCAACCAGAGCAGACAGTTACATGGTGAGGGAGAATGTGCTGCTCTTCCACTTCTCCCTTGAAAAAAGGAGCCTTGCTTTGCAAGTAGGTTTTATTGTTAGACTTTGGTTTAAACCTGATGCATGAAAAGAAGCAGAGGGCAGGGATGAAATAGTGGTACTGTATTATGCAAAATTTTCACAGGTGTCTAAATCAGGAGCTGGGAAGCGTACACGCAATGGCAGGGAGGGGCCATCCCCAGGGAGGATTATAGTGCGGTTGCTCGGGGATGC